GAAACAGCTAGCGTGGCTCCGTCTTACCCACCAGCTCCTGTAAAGCTCAAAAATTTGTACAAAAACTGAAGTTTAAAATGGTAACGAAGGCGAGGGAGATTATTCCTTGGCTGGAACAGCCTTCCTGCAATCTTGTTGTCATCAGAAATTGTCATCTTAACACTTCAGTTTTTATACAGATTAAACCAATGTTAATTGACTCAGAAGTGCTTCAAACAGAGTTTGTCTTCCAGTCTTAATGCTAAGCTAAGCTTACCAACCGCTGGCTTTAGCGTGATATTTAAAACAGACAGAGACAAGAGTGTAATACTGTTAATCTTCTCAAACAGCTTTTGGCACATAAGTAAATAAACATATTTCCCAAAAGTGTCCAACTATTCCTTTGAACATAAGATCAATCGACAAAATAAAGATAATGCATTTATACAATGAGGGAAAAAATCCCACAAAAATAAACCTATAACCACCCTCAGATAAGAAGCAGCATTTCAAGTAAAACGTTTCTCATTTCGGCTTTAACATTAAAGTCCATGCACATTGCACACTGCTGATCTTTGACAGAATACTCTATCCGATCAGAGTTTTCATGAAGGCAGGTTTGTCGAAGGGCCAGTGATACTGGTTGGGGACAGGTCCGTTCACATTGCACTCAAAGAAGGAGAACATGGGGAACCAAATGCGCGCCCTCCGGCTGTGCTGGTAGGCACGGGTGTTAGCTAAGGTGTGGTAGTAGAGGAAGAGGCGGGTAGTGATGTAGAAAGCGATGAACACGTCGATGGAGTAGTGCTCGTGAGCCGCCAGAATGAAGAAAATCCCAAACAGGTTTAAAACCCAGGAGATAGTGTGAATCAGATTCCAGGTTCGTGGAGTGTCTGTAATTGAAATGAATAATTAAAGGATAAATCGATTTTTTCATATTCTTAACAAATCCCATGAAAAGACCAAATAACAAGTATAACACCAGCACTGTAATTTAAGTTGAAGCAGTCCCAACTACACCATCCTGCTTTTGTAAATACTGACTTGCACAGCAACTGTGTATTAGTCTACTGCTGAAAGTAGTTCCCAATAAAAGCAGTATTTTTTCTTGTCTGAGTGGCGTTTGCTAAAAACTACAACGCCAAGAGTATCGAAGGTTTGGTACAGTTTATTTAAATTATTTAAATTAATATTCTGCCAAACCACAGACAAATTACAGCGAGCTCTAGTTACCAGATAATAATAGATAATCTAGATCTATAACCAAATCACACATCCTGTTGTACTAATGGCCTACATGTGTCACTGTGTGGCAGCACATGCAGTTACTTATGTATCCTAGCTGTAGCTGTTTGGATTGAACTACATAAAGACCTCTACAGCACTATGCATATAAATCCCATTAAAAAAGGAGAAAGTTGTTATAAGTTTAACTGATGGTTTTATTATGCCTGATTTTACAGCTATAATGTAATATATATGCTATACTGTGTATACTGTAATACTGAAACTGCAACAGTCGGACTATTACTCCCCTTTTGAGTAATGTTTGTTAAAAACTGCAGTGTCTAGCTGTTTATGGAAATTACCATGTCTCTTTTTTTAAATGAAACTATACATTTGTGACTTCTTTTTAAAGATTTCTTTAACAGGAACCAAAGGACTTGGCACTGAGAGCCACAGACAAGGGAGGGAAGTCAGACAGTACTAGCACAGCACATTATTGGTTTCTTTTCATGGAATTTGTTGACGATAAGAAAAATATAGCGTTATCCTTTAACAAAGGTCACACTTTAAAGCAGACAAAAAAGTAATTAACACTCACATTCAGTCACGAAAAAGTTGAGCATTGTGATGACAACAGTGTGTCCACTGAACATGTAGTCTCCACAAGTTTGGACTCCTGTCAGAGTCATCCCAAATCCACTCCAGATCGCTAGCGCCCTCTGTATCTTTCCCAAGGTATCACCGTAAGTCTGGGGAACAAAAAAACACACCAGAGTTATCAGTGGTGCTTTGAATCACAGTGGCAGCTGTTCATCAGTTATCACAGTGGGAATGCTGAGTCAAGAATAAACTGTAATACTGCCAATGGCAACAAGAATTACTGGCTACCTCAGACCTGAAAATAGCCAAACATATCTAGTCTGCACATAATCTCATGTTGTTCTCATGTGTGCTTCCCACCTTACTGGCACACTTCAGGTGCTGGCCAGGGACAGAGAGTGAGGTAACAAACATGGTGCAACATCGAAGCAAAAACACCGTTCCCATCAGAGAACACAGCCGTCTGAAGAGAATGGACCTGAAACGGAGACAAACAGCACTTCATAACCTACATGCATTTAGATAGAACTATATTTGCATTACAAATACCACTTATCTCAGCAGTGATTTGTGGTTTATTTGCACATATTATTATAACACAGTATATCAGTGATGGGAATATCTGGATCTGTGGGCTACCTGTGTTTGTGAAGGAGCAGGATCAAAATAAACATATAACACAGGATGACGCCACAGGCTTCAGCCATTGCAAAAGCCCAAGGGATTCTGGGAACACTGTCAGAGCACAAAACATGTATCAGTGCATATATGAGAAGTGCAGGAGAGTGTACATGAACTATGGAGTCTGGGTAGTTGCTCAGCATACATGCACTTATACCTGTCAAGGAATATGTCAGGCAGTGGCGGGTATGTCCTTGTGTCTGGGACACGTTCATGTACGAGGACCATGACAAACGATGTGAATCCAAACACAAAAAAGACATAAATGGTACTGAGGACCGTCTTCCACACCTCTGGGTCCAATCTACCAGCCAGGTGCTGCCTACACCTCCCGTTGGAGTGCATATGGCACAGAGCCGCTCCTGAGCCATATCCAGACCTATCACCGTTCCTCAGCCGCAGCTCAGTGCCGTTACATGACCGATCACCTCCGTTGTACCTCCTGTCGGCTCCGTCACAGCTCCACTCGACCCCTACAGCACCCAGCGAGAGCCCAGCAGGGAAACTGTCTGTAGGCCGGAGACCCAGCTCCTCCAGCTGGGCCTGGTTCTGTCTCTGGAGCCGGCGGAGGGCTATGGTCAACCTCTTGATGTCTCCCAGCACGGTAAGACCCAGCGGAGGCCCACGCAGGTCGGCCTCAGTCAGAGCCAGCAGGCTGAGGCCGTCCAGGCGGTGCTGGGTACACAATAACTCCACATACTCCCCAAAACCTTCTTCCTGCAGCCACTGGGCCACCTGCTTACAGCTCCAGGCACTCACACTGTCCTCTGACGGTGCCATGACACTGCAGACACAGACATACACAGAGTTAAGTCACGTATTAACATCTGATTGATTAAGTACCACTTCTCTCTCACCACTGTTCTTGATCAATTCTTGATTTTATCACTCTCACTCTCAGTCCTATTGTTTGAATGCAAAGCTGCCTGAAGAAAGGCACCCATTGAGATTAGTATGCAATTTGCATGTTACAGATCACAACTACTACTATATAAATGAGCTAGAGCTGCAACTAACAATTATTTTAATTAAAGATTAATCTGACAATTATTCTCTTAATTATTCTCTTAATTTGTTGTTTGGTCTATAAAATGTAAGAAAATAGCAAAAAATGCCCATCATATTCTTCCAAGGTCATGATGATACATCTTCAAATGTCTTGTTTTATCCAATCAGCAGTCTAAAACCCACAGATTCAGTTTACACTGACATAAAACAGAGAAAAATCACATTGAAGGAGCAGAACATTTGTTTAATTTTCTGTCAATCAACAAATTGACTTGTTTCAGCTGTAAAATGAGCTGCACTGTCCATTTGGTCTAATAGCAGAATAACAGAGACACTGTGTAAGGCTTCAAGCTCACTCTATAATAGAATGAGACTTAACACACAATGACAGCAAATATGTGAGGATTAGTTATTTTTTCAACAGGCTGATTGTCTTTTTAGTCATTTTCAAGCACAAACTCCAAACAATCTCTTCTCTTTCCAGCCTCTCAAATGTGAAAAAAGGCTGCTTTTTCTCTTTTACATCATGAAAAACTAATATTTTGGTGTTTTGACTATTTGAACATATCCCCTATGAATCTGGGAAATTGTGACAATTTTCATTCTGATATTTCAAAGACTAAATGATTAATTAATAATGAAAACAATTATGAGTTGCAGTCATAAATAAAGAAATTCCTGACATTTAAGGAGCTGAAATCACAAACAAAATCCACTTTTGCTTAATAAAAGACTAAAACAAGTCATAAATGATTACAATTGACTTCCTCTTTAAGTGAACAGTCACTAAAACATCCTGTGAAGGCAGAAATATCACTATGACCAGTCAGGCCACCGGTGAGCATAGAGGTAATCTCCTGTTGGGGCAGCTTGTTTGAGCTCTTATTCGGCGTGACCCAGCAGGATACTTAGAGCTATTACATAATCTGTGATCAGGTCTGTGACTGTACAGTGGCAGAGCGGTGGCTTACGGTGTAAATATACACTGACAACATGCACTGAGCCACATAAATGAAGCTTATGTTTTATGTTTCAAACCAAAACAAACAAACAGGAATTCATCCTCGCCGAGTGTGACCATCCTGTATGTGTCATAGCAGTCGTTTCCAAAGAAAAACAGTGAGTCACTAACCATTCAGGGTTTACACAACACCAGCAGAATAAGTTCCTCTCCCACAGACAGACTCAGGTATTGATGAAACTGATTCTTTGCTCTGTGCTTTTCTCTCGTTTTTTTTATCCTTTGACCCCTGATAAGCAAATCACAGCGCCGATCGCCCTGTACTCCCTGCTGCTCCAAAGGTCTGCAAGGCTCAGACAACATGACTGTACGACTGTTAACTGCTGAATGTGAGCGATACGAGCAGATTAGACAGCAGATACAGACCTAAAATCACCCAAGTAAGCAGCTTTAGTTATCAGGAATGAATGAGACAGCAGGGAAGTGTTAAAGGCTTATTAAAGAATACTACTGTGATGAGATAGCAATAAACACTCATACAGAGCTGATAAGTAATTGAGTGAGAATAATTAAATCTGGGAACTACTTCACTTTTAGGGCGGCAACTAATGATTATTTTCATTATGAACTGATCTGCTCAATTAATTGATTATGCGTTTGGTTTGTAAAACATCAGAAAATTGTGAAAAATTCCCATTTGCAATTTCCAAAAGCCCAACTGATGTCTTAAAATGCATTTAATGTCCAAACCAACCGTCTGAAACCAAAATATATTCAGTTTATTGTCATGTCAACAAGAAAAGCGAATCCTCACTTGAGCTCAAACGATTAGTTGATTAATCGGTTGGTAGAAATTATTTGGATTTATTAATGAAACCCTTTTTTCTAGCAAAGATGTCAAATATTTGATGGTTTCAGCTTTCCCAATATGAGAGTTTTCCACTTTTTGTTGTCTTACATTACAATAAATTGATGGTCAAACAACACATCACCTTGGACCAGGAAATTGTGACATTCTTTTCCACTTTTTTAAGCCATAATGGAATTTGAAAAACTGGAACCATCAAATATTTGACATTTTTGCTTGAAAAAGTTTTTTATCGACTAACAAATTCACTGCTTAAGCTCTATGCAAAATATTGTGATATAAGAACAAAAATATCAGCTGACATTTTAATATAATATTATCATACATCTTAAATATCATATTCTAGTCTTAAATGTTGCATTAGAGTTAAGTGAAACACTTTTTTGGTAACTTATTTGAATGTATTTATGTGAAACAATCAATAAAATGTCATTCCCACATTACTACACATTTCGAAGGAATATCACCCTTAGATCAATCTCACCTAATATAACATCACATTATTGACACCAACTCACTGTTTAAACATATTTTAAAATATATTTTGTTAGTAAGCATAGTTTGGTGATGAAAAGCTCCCAATGACCCTCACACCGACTGAAGTTTGCCGTCAGTAATGCAGATCATATTGAGGCCTGTTGCCAGTGAAGGATCCATACAGAACAATTCAGCTTATCAACTGATCAGTATTAAAAATGTCTGCAGTAACTCACCTGGGTAGCTGCTGCTCTGTTCCCCTCTGAGAGAAATAAGTTATTTTTAACTAGCCTCTAGATTTTACTGGCAACATCCTGCAGCGTCTCTGCCTGAGGCTTTACTTGGGGATTCATAAGTGCCATGTCAGCTTGTTTGGCTGGCTTACAGTGAGTCACAGTGAGCACTGACACACAGCTGTGAGAGAGAAAGCGCTTGTGTGTGTGTGTGTGTGTGTGACAGAGAGAGACACAATTTGACAAAGGGCTCATAGTCTGTTCACCACAATGCAACACCGGACAGCAACATTTGAGCATGAGATCAACTCTGAGAGATTTCATCATATTTTCCTGATGGTGTTGAAAGTTAGAAACAAAAAGTAGAAAGGACAACAAACAAGTCACAGAAAAGTAAATGTAGTTTCAAACTTACTTATTAATTAATTATATTAAACAGTAGCTGTCTCTCTTACCAAAGATCCACAGTCAGTGTGCTGTCAGAGGGTGTGGATGAGCTGTCTGTCTAACTCGCAGGACTTTTTCATGACTAACATGCTTCTGACAACTAGGCAACACCAAACAGGAAGAGACACTAATAAACAACACCAGTAAAGAAGAGCTGGTAGCTTTGTGCTGGGCTGCTACTTTAAGTACACTGACATCTGCTGGCCACACTGAGGATCAATTAGGATCTTAGAAGTCATTTTTTCCCTAGATCCACAAAAAAAGGTGTATTTAATGGATTATTTGGTTGAATTTGACCCAAAGAAAAGCACAAGCAGTGGTTTTGAAACCAGTAATGTTAAACACATTTCCACGTGTGAGAGTTTGGCTGAGAGTCTGAGCAAAACTGCACCACCTGTTTTTGACAGTCAAAAGGCTGAGTGATGCAGCAAACCAAAGTGAAGGCGGCAGGCAGCAGTTCGTTTTAGGGAAATAACAATAGTTTCCACTCTCTAAACTCAAAAATGGCTGACAGGAAAACATTCCTGGCTGCTGCCTCTGAGGTGAGATGTGATCCACAAGACTCAGAGCAGAGAAATGTCAGCGACACAGACCCAGACGAAGAGGAAAAGAGTGCACAGGATTCAAAGGGGATGTGGAAGATCCCGTCTCTCCAAGAGCTGGAGGAGGTTTTACATTCAGCTCCACGCTCCTGTCGCCACGGAGATGAGGTATGGCCAAACCTGTATCTGGGAGACATGTAAGTATCTTGTGCTTTGTTTAAGTTCATATACACATGTGTCGGGATTGTTATTAATTTATAATATTTGGTATTTGTGTCAGGTTTATGTCTCATGACAAGCTCGGGCTGTGGCAGCTAGGCATCACTCATGTGCTGAACGCAGCGCATGGAAAGCTCTGCTGTAAGGGGAGTGATGATTTTTATGGAACCACAGTGAAATACTACGGAGTCCCAGCCAATGACCTGCCAACATTTGACCTTTCACCTTTTTTCTACCCTGCTGCTGAGTTCATTCACCAGGCTTTGACATCAGGAGGTACTGTGAAGCTGCCACACATGTGACACTACATAGAAATACTCTGTATTTTCTTTATTTGTGCCTTTTCTTGTTATTGATTTCCAGGAAAGGTGTTTGTGCACTGTGCTGTGGGTGTGAGTCGCTCGGCTGCATTGGTCCTAGCCTACCTGATGATTCATCACCACCTCAGCCTCCTGTCTTCTGTGCGCTGTGTGCAAGAGAAACGCTGGATTTTCCCAAACCGAGGCTTCCTGCGACAGCTTATAGCCCTGGACCGAAAACTGCAGGACGAAGGGTCGATTGAGGCAAAATGAAACAAAAGAGCGACCCTACAAAATAAATCCATAGAATTGTCCTCCCTTAGTCAGCAGAAGTCAGTGTTCCTCATTTAAACCCATGCAAGACTGTCTCCATTTGTACCATTTACTATGTATGTATACACTAAACAGTTTGATTGTGTCCACCCCTCCCCTCCCTCGTCCTCTTTCGATGTGACCTTAGTGGTGGCAGAGAGAGTCCCCGTCAGTGAACAGTGAACAGGCAGATCAATGCAACAGCAATGTTAAATAACTCTGCATCCAGTCAAAGAGAACTCACTGAACACACAGAGCTAATTTTGGAGCCAAGGGGCATTCAAACAGCCACCTGCTCACGTCTCTCACTGAGCTGCTCAGAGGCTGGCAGTGAAGGGACAGTGGACACAGACAGCAGGAGCAGTGTTGGAGGAGCACACTGTGTCCAGGGAGAATGTCAGGGAGCAAGCAGCCACAGGACCTGGCGCTCATTAAGGAGCTAGAGCGCATCCTGGATTCCTGCACATTGGAGCTCACGCCAGTGGATGAAGTCTGGCCCAACCTGTACATAGGAAATGTGTGAGTGCCGGTGTGTTTGTTGCTGGGAAGACTTCATAAGCTCTGCAAGAGAGGAATTGATCTGTTTTATCAGCCTGTTAGTAAAGTCCCTGTGTGTGTTTTCCTAGAGTCCCTGTTTATCTTTATATCAATCCATCAAACTGTTTGACATTTATTCCCTGTTTGTCTCTTTTTTGTTTGTTTTTCAGGGCTGTAGCACAGAATAGAAAGACATTACATAAGCTTGGCATCACTCATGTCCTGAATGCAGCGCACTACAAGCAGGGCAGCATCGGTGACCAGAGTTTTTACGGGAACACCTGTGTTTACTTTGGCATCCCGGCTGAGGATTCAGAGCGCTTTGACCTCAGTCTGTATTTCAAACCCGCGGCTGACTTCATGCATAAAGCCCTGAAGAGCAAAGACGGTACAGAATATGAATGTGTCCCATCAAACGGTTATAATTTTGTACTTTTTCTCTATTTTCTTTCACATTCTCTATCCTGCTCTACAGGAAAGGTGCTGGTGCATTGCATCATGGGCGTGAGTCGATCGGCCACTTTGGTCCTGGCCTACTTGATGCTGCGGCAGCGCCTCTCTCTGAGAGATGCTCTGAGGCGTGTGGTCCAAAAAAGAGCCATTTACCCCAACCAGAATTTCCTGTCCCTGCTCCTCAAGCTGGATGAGCGGCTGACACTCAAACGGAGGATGTGTCCTCTTCTCTGACATCTCTCTCTCTTTCTTCACCTCCTTCATACGCTCCTTCATCACATTACTCATCTCATGTCTTGTCTCCATTTCCGTGTGTGACTCTGCACTCTAATCTGTAAATAATAATTCGATTTGTGTATGATGTAGTCAGGGTGTGAGTTGGATTATTTCTGGTCTACTTTTTGACTTCTGGGTACAGCAGCAACGTGTTGTGAAATATTGTATATATATTATATGTCTGAGTTTTGTTTTTAATGTTCAAACTGTATTTAAATGTCAGTTTTGTCAGGCACAAGCTTTGTAAATACAACTTCATGACCTGTTGTGAATGTCCATTAAAGACATTTTATGATATTTCATTTAAATATTTTGGCTGTTTGGATATAAAATTAGTTGCAAACTATATAGTTTTGTTTTTGTTTCAGCTAAATCATTTTGCATTAACACAGACATGTCCTCTCTCATCAAAAACACTAACAACTATTTTCATTTAACAAAGACCTATTAAACTTTTACGTTTTATTGGTTATGAAACAGTTTCAATTTAATACTGATGCCTCCCCCCTGATTACCTTCATAAAGAAAACAGCTAGAAGGCTATTTCTATTTATTCTTAATGCCTGCCACAGGGGTCAGATTCTGTCAGATTCCCCTTGAAATCAATGAAACGAGGTGGTGGAAACACTACCGCTTTTGTCCACAGGGGCCGCCAGAATCAACTAAAACTTAAAGTTCCTTATTGCTGCTATAACTATTAACAAAAACAAGCAATAGATTGATACAGTACAGGTACACATATAAATTATCCTTGATAAGGCAAATAAATAGATTTAAGTAAAAAAATAAAAAATAAAAAAATAGAATAATATATGGGATAATAATATTATGATTGTGAAAAATGAAAAATTGTGACATTTATTGAGTTTTAAATCATTTTGAACTCATAATAAAAACATGGGTACATTTATATAAACAGGTTATGCAATGAGCATAACATTATTGATTCATGAAAATAACTCAGCATGATGTAATCAACACAACACAGATAAAGTTAACACGTCAGTGGTGAATGTTATTCACAGCCTGGATCATGTTTCTGAAAGCAGAAGAGCAGCAGGCACAGAGACACACACACACAGTACAGCGGTGTATTACACAACAGTCTGCGGTCATGGAAACTGAGCAAGTGAACTAATGTTAAAGTTCACAGCATAATGCCACATTGTCGTCCAAAGGAATAAGACTACAAGAATGTAGTAAAAATGGATTAAATGTGTTGAAGTGCTGAACTGCTGATAAATGCATTCTGCAGGATGATTTCCCACTCTGAGTGTATGATTACAGAGTTATATAAAGGAGACAGGCTGCAGTCATATGTGTGTGTGAGAGTTTATACAGAAATAACAGCGAACACAGTAGGAGAAGAGTTTTCTCTGCCTTGAAGTGAGGTAAGTTCACAAGAGTATAAATATTAGTTTTGTGAGTGTCATCTCTTTATCTTTTTCTCTTTATCACTGGAGATGATTGTATTAGTTTTCTAAGAAAAGGTAATTATGAGGTGTTTGTTAAGAAAACTTTGCATATAATTTAACATTACAGAACATGTTTCATACAACACCTAATATATTTCTTTTCTTTTTTTTCTTTCTGTTTTTGTGTCGATGGTGGAATAAGTACATTTACTCTAAAATATTATATAAATTTGAGGTACTTGTACTTTACTTTCATGACACTTTCTATTTCTACTTCATTTCAGTACTTTTTACTTCCCTACAAATATTTGACATCTTTCCTTTACAATTTTGCATTCAAAATGTACAAGGAGCTCATGAAATATAA